CCTCCGCGCCTCCCCGCACGCTGGCAAAGCGCACTCCCTCCCTCCCGCCTGGCGCGGCGCGGCGGTGCTCTGTCCGCCTGCACCCTGCATCCCTGCTCACACACGCGCGTGCCTTTCATCACACGCGCACCGCATCACCCCGCCTCCATCACGCACACCTCTCCACCACATACACACGCCTTCCATAGCACACGCACACACCCCTCTCCACCACAGATACACACCTTCCATTGCACACGCATCACCCTGCCTCCATCACACACATACACACACCCATCTCCTGAGTGGCCATCATAGAGGACGTTCCCGTTTTCTACTACTCTGTCCTCTATTGATAGGAAACCCAACACCTTTCTTATTTTTCTTTTCAAGAGAAAAATAGAAGACATAAAGGCATCCGGTTTCATATCAGTAGAGGCCAGAGGACAACCGGACTGTCCTCTATGATGGCCACCCTCTCCACCACATACACGCACCTTCCATCGCACACACATAACCCTGCCTCCACCACACACCCCCACATGCACATACCCCCCTACCATATCCACATGCCTTCCTTCCATCACACACACACACACCACCCTGCCACCATAGTGCACACCCCCTCTATCACCCCCCCCTCCAAAATACACCCCCTCCCTCCAACACATGCACACACACACCCTCCTCTCCATCACAAACACTGTCAAACACATACACTATTTGGCCATGTGTTTTTCTTCGTGGGGGGGGGGGGGGGGGGGGGGGTGCTCCTTTCCAACCCCTCTTTTATAGCTGGATTGTCCTTTTTACCCTCTCATAGTCACTTTGCAGGTCTGGCAGGTCTAAATTTACTGTGCAATTAACCAGATAATTGCGTGATAATTGTGGCTGGTCTTACTTTGCAGGTCTGGCTAGTCTAAATATATAACTCGATTCACCAGTGAGTTGTGTAATATATGTAACATAGCAGGGGCCTGACTGACTGAGTTGAGCTGGGAGCAGGTCATTGGGATGTTTAAAGCAGCGGTTCTCAACCTAGTTTAGACTCAAGGCCTCCCTGGGAAAGCACCAGCTTTCACTCAGGTCTTTTTGACTACCAAGAAATGACAGAGATTCTGCTGCAAATAAACCTAGAGAGACCACAGAAGTGTTTAGGACCACTGGGTTCCTGTTTGAAATCTCTGGGTTTGTCTTGTGAATCATGCATAGGTGTTTACACACCCTACCGTGCTAATATTGGATGGTACCCCACAGAATCCAGAAAAGGATCTCACAGCACCCCAGGGTGCTATGCCACCCTGGTTGAGATTCACTGGTTTAAAAGTGGGAGATTCACTGGTTTACAATATGGGCAAAGTGTACTCCAATTTTTTTTTCTTCACCCTGGGAATCAACCTGTGCTTAAGTCCCCTTGATAGTCCTACAATCAGTTATACCTATAAATGAAAATAAAGAAATGTGGAGGTCAAACCAAATCTCATTCTGGGTGAAATAAGGGATAGAAACACAGAATAAAAAATATGCAGAGGATATTAAAATGATACTGAACTGCTGTCCTGCCAGTGTGTCCAGTATTAGACCCTGATTGACTTTAAATAGGGCTCTGGATATACATCTCACTCTCCAGTTGCAGATACGGTTTTAGGACTGAGTACCATTGCTCATTGCACACTGAGAAATACAGAGCAGGGATGAAAAAATGTCCTGAGAGGGGCAATGCAGATGGTCAGGAATACACACAAGCTTGCATCTGATAAAAGGCTATATCTAGAATTATTCTAAACATCTAAACTATTTAGTTTTGTAAGGAGAAAAGTACAAGAGGGGTTTTTAGCAAGGTATTCAACAGTCTAAAAAAGTATTGGTCAGTCATCCCTCCTCACCTTGTCACAAAACAAAATCAACACAGAAACGCCAGGGAACATTTAGGCTTCAAATAAAATAAAAATGAAACATCTTTATGGCGGGTGCAGTCACCCTATGGAAATCATTGCTTCAGGATATAAAGGACTCAAATGCAGTACCTGGATTCTTTAAAAACTGGTTAACTTCATGATAATTAACATTTGTAGAAGTAGAATGTAGAATGAAGCTGTAGAATGCCAGATAAGGTACTGATAAACACTAATGGACGGCCAGGGTTCATGATTCATGGCTTCAGGGTAAAAGATAATCAAGAGAGCTCAGAAAGGAATTATTTTTGCAAATACAACACTGATTTACAAAGGCTGTTTTCAGCCTCTTTTGAGGTAGCTTGCTGCTCATGAAAAATACTGGCTTGACCTCATTAAAGACTGAAGCCTATCCGTTTCCCCGACTGCCAAAGCATCTCAGACCTGACTTGTAGGACCACCTTTTGGGATGGGGG